ACTCTGCCCCCCGGATCCCGGCCTAGGAAACGTCCCAGCGGCTCCGGAGGGCCCCGTGCCGCCGAGCCCCGCCTCGGAATACTTCCGAGCGGCCCCGACGACACGTCCTCCCAACCTCTCGACCCCGAGCCCCGACCCGGAAATAAATTCCGGCGGCCCCGGAGTCACGCCTCGTTGTGCCTACCATGCGTACACAGTACGCCCCAATGTTCCCACCCAAAGGCACAACGGGGCCTCCCACTCCTGCCCGCCCACCCGGTGACCCGCGCCACGCACGGTTATGCCACCAGGGTCGGGCCCTCCCACCCCGCCGAGACGGGACCACGTCCCGCCCAGCGAGGCGGAAGCTCCGCCAATGCCGGTGCGCTCCCCGCCCGGCCCCATGCCAGACCGCTCGTCCCGAAAGGGACGACGGCCCCAGACACGGGGTGACGGCCGGTTCGCGCCCCGACGGAGGATGTCGGCCGACGAGCTGTCGACGTGACCCTCCGACCCTCCGAGGCCCTGCCTGGGAAGCGTCCCAGCGGCCCCCGGAGAGGTCTTCCAGGTAGCAGGCCCTGCCTCGGAAACGTCCGAGCGGCCCCACTACCCGTCTAAACGAAGCTGTGGGTCCGCGATGCCCTTCCGGACAAGTGTCCATGGGACACCGCTTCCCCACCCTTCCCGGCCGGTGTTCGATCTGGCCGTACACACTGGCCAAGTGGGCTCTTAGTCGGCGAGCCCTCCGGAAAACCTCCGGAGTGCCCGCCTTAAGCCCCCTCACCACGACAAGGTGGCCCACACGAGGGGGACGTTATTGCACCTCGACAATTACAAGTCCGTCGACAAATCTGAGACGGCGCAATCCGCGACTACCACTTCACAATGACTATCCGATCAGGCCGCGCGAAAAACTACAAGTCTAGCCGCGATATCGCATAACGTTACTTCGCAATTATTAACGAGCGCGTTAATATACGTCCACGATAATAAGAACGAACTCATTCGATGTCGCGCCCTGTTAGATACGTGTGCATCCGCGAACTTCATATCCGAATCCTTAGTAAAACGTTTAGGTGTGCCCGCGATCGCGCACCCATGTCCGATCAGTACGATTAGTACCATGAGCACTGAATCGAAGAGTATTGGTACAAATAACAATACAGTCAATGCGCGGCAGTTTACGTAAACAATTGACATGTCTGTCTATTCCGACTATCGCGGATTTGATACCATCCGATATCTTTCCGCGAGACACCATAAAAATACCCGCGAACATCAAGTTGGCGGATCCGGATTTCCATTTACCGCGTCCAGTCGACCTTTTAATCGGTTCCGGATCGACATTGTCGTTATTCTCCGTGGGTCAAATTAACTTATCACATAATGCTCATGATCTGTATTTACAAAAGACGCGATTGGGTTGGATGATTGCGGGTAGCGCATCAGAACAAACTTCTTCCAAATCTATATCGTGTGGCCTGACCAATTTAGAAAAACAACTAACGAAATTTTGGACAATCGAAGAGGTCACTATTGACCAACCGAAATCATATGAAGAGATCGAATGCGAATCACATTTCGTAAAAAATGTATGTCGCGATAACGACGGCCGTTACATAGTCCGACTTCCGTTTCGCGAACCAAGCAAACGTCTCGGTGAGTCATATGACATTGCTCTCAAAAGGTTGCTATCTCTAGAACGTAAATTTAACAAAAACGCGACTTTGGGCGCTGAGTACGCGCGAGTCATCGACGAATATTTAGAGCTGGGTCATATGTCTCGAATAGACCATACCGGAGATGGATTTTACATGCCTCACCACGCTGTAATAAAGGACTCGAGTCATACCACTAAGGTCCGAATAGTCTTCGACGCATCTGCGAAATCATCTAACGGAATATCGCTAAATGATATCTTAATGGTAGGGCCCACAATGCAAAGTAAATTGTTCGCACATTTAATTCGGTTTCGTTCATATAATTATGTGATAACGGTGGATATCGAAAAAATGTATCGTCAAGTACTATTGCATGAAGACGATCGGCAATATCAGCGAATTCTATGGCGGAAGGATGACAAGATAGTGACGTTTCAATTAAATACGCTCACATTCGGCGTTGCTTCTTCACCATTCCTCGCCATTCGCACTTTAAAACAACTGGCGGACGATGAGCGACAAGAGTTTCCCAGAGCGGCCGAAATTCTTAAGAATCATGTATACGTAGATGATTTATTGAGTGGCCTTCACTTGGACACAGTACAATTGGACACGGTGCAAATAGACACGGTTCGAATGGACACATTTTGGTGTACACGGTTCAATTGGACACGGTTCATTTAGACACAGAAATTTTAGACACAGTGATTTTTGGACACATAGAAAATAAATTTTCGACACGTTGCAATTAGACACGTCAAAAATGTACACCGTTCAGTTTACACCATTTATTTGTACACGCGAAAGATGGACACTGTTCACCTAGACACGTAAAAATGTACACCGTTCATTTCTACACAAAAAGTTGTACACCGTTCATTTCTACACACAAAAGTTGTACACCGTTCATTTCTACACACAAAAGTTGTACACCGCTCACTTCTACACCGCTCAGATGTACACCGCTCACTTGTACACCGCTCACTTGTACACCGCTCACTTGTACACCGCTCACTTGTACACCGCTCACTTGTACACCGCTCACTTGTACACCGCTCACTTGTACACCGCTCACTTG